CATATATTGTTTTTCTAATTTATCTTTTTTACATATTTTTCTTTTTTTTATTGTACATAAATCTTTTGTTTTGCTTTAATGAAATGAATAAATGAAATGAAATGAAAAGTAAGTAAAACATTCTTACTCATTTTGTGGACCTTTGAGTAAGGCCCTGCAGTCAAACTAACCCACGCACAAGCAGACATGGACTCGGACACAGTGATTTGTGACAGAACAATGCTGCAAGACTGAAAAGGAACATTTACTAGATAGTGGAGAGACCTCCTCTGATGTTTGGTTTAGAAATGGTGGTGCTAACACATTGACAGGAGGCAGAGATGAAGACGTTGGAGAGACATGAGTGGACAAGGTTAGAAAGTAGAACATCAGAGACTTTAGAGATTTGGAGACTTTTGGCTCTTTTCCATTAGCATCTCTACAGCACAGTTTGACTTGAACGGTCCCAGAGTCCAAAAATTGWCACCACATGCCTTATCAGCTGGTGCCTTATCAGCTGGTGGCAGTTATGCTCCATTAAGCCATTTGCCAGCCACCATTAAACATAATAGAAGAAGAGCACCCCAAAAAGATACGTAACACAGCAACAGATACAGTAGTGTTGTTATTGCAAATGGCAAGTCAAGTGGATGAGAGAGCAGCTCTTGTGAAACAACCAGTGACTCCACCCCTAACCAATCAGTGTTCGACAGTCATCTGATGTCATGTTTTTCAGGCCAGCACGGTACACTTGGAATCACAGCCAACTTCTAAAAAAGGGGCTGGTTCCACAAATTTTTGCAAGTGGAAAAGCCTTGGAATCATGGAGAGCCAAGTCAAATCGTATGGCACAGTATGAGGGCCAAAATTAAGACTATTGTGCAACCAGCAATTACTAAATCCTCTGATTAATGATAGGCACCAGTAACTGAGAGGCTGGTGCTGGCAAACAAGAAGGAGACTATTCATTGGCGTTAGCATCGGAGAGGCTTGCAACCACCATGGATAAGCTGACGTTAGGCAGCCAGTGGTACCGGGGGGGTGTTTTATGTTCAGACACAGACCCGCGTGGGTCAGTGTTTATTGGGGGTATTTCCACCATGTCTATGGAAAAGGGGTATCTTTTTACACTTGTGTTTCTTTCCTGGCTGGACTCAGTGTTGCCAGATGGGAAATGTTGAATTATCGTATCAGCAGCTCAAAATTATCGTATTTTGAGGAAAATTATCGTACACACCCAAGTTACATTCTAGAGAGGCTCAAATTTACAAATACATCCTGCTCAGCTCACAATATGCTCTGTATTCAACAAACTGCACATTCTTTTGTTTATAATAAAGTTAAAAAGCACTGTTGGGAATCTGTTTTTTTTTTTTTTTACAAAAGCTTTGTTGTAAACAAGAACGGAAATGCTGCATATAAAAAGAAATGTTAGATAAAATGACTACAATAAAATGTAAATTATAGGCAAAGTTAAAATGAAATCAGGAAAAGAACAAATCATTGTAGTTTATTGTACTTTTGATTAGTCAAGAAATAAATTGAGTACATACAAATTGAGTACAAATTTAATCTGCAAGCCTCCAAAATCTGTTTTTTTTTTCCTTTTAAAAACAGCTTCTGGATGTTTATTAAATGTAAATGTTGTTTATACTCCTCTCCTTCTCAGT